GCCATACACACTGGTATAATAAATTCAACGTTGATTATATATGAGAGGTTTATGGGTAATGGTCAATGGCGGTCAGTTAAAAATCGCTCAGTGAATTTTTTTAGAATAAACCAAAAAAACGGACTTATAACGGTGTAAAATCTTGTAAAACAGATTAAATAGTGTCTTGAATACGGATACAATGGCGAATAAAGGTAAAAACATCATTTTCATTCCATAATAATGCTACCAGACAAGATAGAAAACCTGCACGACGAAACTCAAGCGCCACGTCGGCAGAATCACCCCAACCATATGAAGTAAATACATCATTGCCAACGAAGGAGAACTTTGTTTCCCTAGATATAAGTGAGAAAATGAACTGTTTGTTTGATCTTATGGTTCAATTTGGGCCAGTGAATTATAAACTTGATTGCATAACAAAAAAATTGTATCATACAGTTGCTACAAACGAAGTCAACAATTCAAGGTTACGCCTCCTTGAATATAAAAGCATTGATATGGAGGCCCGTCTTTTAAAAAATAACATCTTATTTCATGTTACCCCCGAAGGAAATACCGACTGTGTGACATCTGTTTTTAACTTTATTAATGATCACCTGCAGTTAGACCCAAGTTCTATGTGAATATCACGTGCATTTCGGATAGGAAAGCCCAAACGACAACAATACCCGGATAAACCTTATATTCGTCAAATACTGGTATCTTTCTCTGAACAATCTTATGCAGACAGCGTCATGGAGAATGCCAAACTACTAAAGAACACCAAATTTGGTCTATCCCGGGATTACCCGAAAGAAATTCGTGAAGCACGTCAAGAATTATGGCACGATTACAAGGATGCGAGGTCAAAATATGACCCCCGAAATGTCAAGCTTAAGTATTCTGCTGCCTTGGAAGTAAACGGAGAAACAGTACGCAATTTATTCCCTGGATAGCACTCAATTCTACGAGGCTCCGTAACTCTAACGTGGAATCACGTGTCAACGAGACTTACACGAGAGCAGCTGAGAAATCATCTACACTCGCACGTGACGAGACCCTTATCGAGGAAGACACAGGGGATGACACAGATTCGATCAAAAGCGATGACATAATACGAACAACAAGCCCAAATTCATACAAATTATCTGCGAAGTCATCTCCGATAGGTACGACACACACATCCAAAGGTTTTTTGCTAGAAGTACATGCCCCACTTCAAGGTCCTACACTTGTATTGGCGCCTTTTCCTGGTAATCGTAAGGACAATTTTACAGACTAGTGTTACCCGGGGTCAGTGGTATACTTCTGTGAACAGTGTAAGGATATCCCATGCTCCTCTAAAACATTGGTATGTGAACATCTTAGAAATTGTGATCTTTCTTTAATACATAAATCAAACATAAACATCCAAGAAAGGATCGATGCTAAAAATATCGTGAGTGACCAAAATAGTATGTTTATTAATCAAACCCCCAGTGCATTTCATGGAAACTTAAAAATTGGATTGCTTAATATGTGCGGCTTAAAAACTAGGCTTTAGTATCCTGAATTCATAAACATGATAGAACAGTATTCAATTTTGTGTGTAACTGAGACTAAAATAGATAAAAATGACATTATATCTGTACCAAATTATACTTTCTTTTCCAAATCAAGGACTGAAAGTTGTAATCGAAAATCTGGCGGAATCGGTTTTTTCGTACATGATTTTTTGTTAAATATATAGAGATTCTAGACTCTAAAAATGAGTACATTTATTGGTTAAAAGTTAACACTTATATAGACGGCATAGTGCAAAATATCATCATAGGTTCCATGTATGTACCGCCAGAACAATCACGCTTCTTTAATGATGACGAGTTCTATGATTTCCAAAATGATATTTCTTTTAAATGCAGTAAATACGAAATTGTATTGATAACTGGAGATTCAAACGGACATACTTCTACATTACCAGTTAATTTTTCGATGAAATATGACTCAAACATGTTTGTCTAAATTTGTCAGATTTCCATTCAAACACAGACAAGAAGATCAACAAAAAAGCAAAAGAGCATGAAATTGTGAGCCAGTTCGGATGTATCGAAACTTATATATGTCAAAATCCATGTTCATCACAAAATCCAAAATTTGCAGAGGAAATAAAATCAGTGAAAAAAATAACATGCAATAAATGATAACCGAAGTAAAATAAAAAGCTTTAAAGGTTTTCCATTGTCACTATAGTATAAATATCTGCTTGCTTTAGAGGTATTTAATGCCTACATTCTACCTGCACACACCAAGCAATCATTATATTATTAAGGGATGCTTGTATCGAAAATGCAAATTAATTTTTACAACATCCCTCCATCAAAACAATTAAATTAGAAAAGACCACGTAAAGTAGTTAAGTTGAAATTATAAGCAATTCATCATTCTGATTATTTTACTTTCCAGATAACATAATGATTTCAACTAAGTCAAAACATCAATATTATGATATAAAAAAAGAGTCAAGAATGATAAAAAATGCAGTCACATGAAGTTAATTCATATACATGTCCTACTCATCCACAGTAATTCTAAGCAGTTTTTTATTATCTAATTTATTTTCGGCCATATTTACTCAGTATTAACATATTTTCTAGATTGAATCTGTTTGTAACTTTGAATAGATAAAGAAAGATTGCACTGTGTTGTATTAATAACTGACACATGCACATCATTAAATTAATCGATAATCCCATGTAATAATTGAATAATTGCACGTACCCGAATGGACACCAGTTAAACGTGTATCAATGAAGGTGCACTTACTGTCCATTCGATCACCAAGATCTACTAACCAACAATTGCCATAACTTTTACAAATGTCATTTTAAATGAAGTTTTTGTTGTTGTTGTTGTTTTTGTTTTTGTTCTTGTTTTTTTTTGTCTGTTTTATAAGAAAATGGTTATCAATATTTTGATTGCGTTGCTTTTCAATAATAAACAGTTTTAATTTAAATGCACATAACTATGATCAGCATCCTTCGCAAGGAAAATCTATTAAAGAAAAGCAAAGGGTTTAAATAATCAAATACAATTTTCGTTCATGGAAGTGTGGTCTGAACGGAGATACCAGGACAGGAGTGAATACTGTCAGTGTAGGCAATCGCAATCAATAAAATGAAAAAAAAAGAAGAAATTAATTGATGTAATTAAGATTACCTTACATTCGGATTGCCTACACATTCTGCATCTGTAAAACATTTGATGTTGTTTGTTTACTGAGATCTTTTGTGTTGAATTAAGCTTTATTTGTAAAATATAACTATTATACTAAAGAAAATAATAAATATAAGGTTTATATTTTCAATATCTTGTCTTTAATTACATGAAAAATGTGTGAGAAACAACAGACTTAGACCAACGATAATTGACGTGCCCATTATACAATAGATATTATTGCACTATATAAATTAAGTTCGCCGAAACCACAACCTGTTTTAATATATATGACTCATTGTAATGAATACAGAAATTTTTGTTTATTTGTTAAGGAAATAATCACAAAATTTGAGAATAGTTAACATTTTTACATATTTGTTCATCATGTTCTTGAAAATGCGTGATTCTCTCCATTTTGTTAAGATAAATTGTCTTAATATTATTAATTTCATGTGTATGCTATGCCTCTTTATGTTATGTACGTTTATATGCTATAGCTCATATTGTCATGTGTGTACATGAATTGAGTTCTGAAATAAACTTTGTATAATATAAAATTAGTTCGCTGACCCGGTAGTTCGACGAAACAACTCTCACCCGTCAATTAAAGTCCGTGGTGCTACGTAAGTTAAATGCACAAAATAGTTTCTACTTTAAATCACTTTATGAAAAATATACAACCTTCAGAGCAGACAACATAATGAAACATAAGCACAGATATATACAAACAATAACAAACCAACAATTTTTTCCCGCCAAAACGGCCTTTGTTCTACAAGCCAGCTTGTAAATTAGGTCACCTAGTCATTCTAAATTATAGCTAACATGAACTGTAAATGGGAAATCAAGCAGATCATTAAATAAATACTTATCTACAATATAAATAAAGCATAAAAAATCAATACTTACAGTTTAAACTTGCTAGTATATTTAAAGAATCGAATTTGTACGCTCTGAAATACAATCCTCTCTCTTCCTTAATGGTTGCCTGTTTGTTGATGTTTAAAAGGATATATTTACAATATCAACCAGTCCTTACTACAACAATTCAGCTTATGTATTGCTTGGGCTTTGGTCTGCACAATTATTGTATGTAAACACTTTCAAATCATCACTAATATTACATATTCTTAATAAAGCAAAGTTAAAACATTATTGCTAAAATGTTTATTGTCATAACATCTAAAGGAGTCATTGTCTAGGTACCAAAATCTATATACATTTGTGCATAAACAAATTTTACAGATCGGTATGAAACATTTTTGTTTTCAAAGAAAATAAATATTGAAAAAAAAATGTTTTGTTTAAAGTAGCATTAAATAAAAATTTAGAATGGGGAAAAAAAAGCCTAAACGAAAATCAACGTTACTTTTACTATTGGTTAAATCTGTCTTGTCTGGCATTATATGCAGATGCTTAATAAATTGTTGCACTGATTAAACAGAGTCTTTAAACTACTGTTTACAAGCAAATCCACTTTAATTGTTTCTGTGTAAAATGTGTATTGTTACCAAAATATTATCTTTATATGTTCAATAACGTATTTTGTTTTATTTTTGTTATAAGGTATTGTTCATAATACCATCGAAATTGACCAGAACTAACCAGATGTTTAAATGTGTATTGATGTATTAAGTTTTACCATATGCAGTGATAAGTTTCACTTTTTAGACGCTGTTGTATGAATCAATACCGACATCTTGAAAGCTGGTTATCAATCATAAATAACGTAAATTCGAAAAGGCGGCTATAATAACTAAAAATTGGCAAACTAAAACCTGTTTCTTTAATTTAACCATAATATTTTAAAAATTGTGAGACTCGAAAAGATAATACATAATTCATTTTAGGTATAAAATGGTTAACATTTACGGAAAATTGACTTTGTTATTATTTTCGCAAGTTTGTATTATTATATTCCTTGCCTTAACAACTCGTTATCATCGTACGGTAAGAATTTCTGTTTTAAATTTTCTTTTATGTGATATTGATATTCTAGAGTATAACTTATGCTTTATGTCCATGCATGTTGTTTTTTTTAGATATAAGTTATTTGAATAGATGTATATGCAAAGTTCAAATGTTTCACATAGAAGGCCAATCATACTCCAAACATGTTTTTCTTTCTTATTTGAAAAGAAAACAACAAAAAACTTTAAATTATATGATGTCGTATTACACATGTAGTTCTAAAAAAGATGCTTATTTGCCACTACAAAAGCCTTTGCTACCTTTGCTTCTGTTGCTTATTGGCAATTAAAATAGTAATATTTTTAATAGAAGACAAAATATTACTTTGCAGGGCCTTTAGGAAACAATATTCCTGTGTAGCATAACTGTTTCTCTGCAAATGAACTATACTTTTCGAATGTAAAATAAAAGTATATTATACATACGGAAATCAGTATTGTAACTGTGTTCAACATAAAAAAACAATGACCTTTAATTAATTTTATGAACAATACTTTGTGACGTTAATCGCAAATCACCCTAAGGCGTGTGGAGAATTCGGTTCAATTTCTACATTGTTTACAAGACAAACACGACGAACTTGTCAGATACCAAGTTTCAACATACGGAATTTAATAATAAGTATCCTCAAAAAAGATCAGCTTTATTTGCTTATTATAAAGGATAGGAGCTCTCTCAATGTCACCAAAAACGTTACCTGAATGGCATGCATAATGCGGATATGTTTTGAAGGCCATTTGCAAGCGATATTGGCGTGGAACCATCGATAACGTGCCTTTTAATTAGGGAGTAGATTATGTTAGGAATGACCATCTTTTCTATTGTCATTGCAACTGGATCATTGTTACGCCATTTCTCCTTAACGTGTTATTGTGTACTATTTTATTGTAATATACAACTTGAAATAATTTAAGCACTCCAGTCCCGGTTTTATAGCAATAATAGTATAGTATAGTTTGTACCCTTGCCATGACAGCTTAAATTCAAATATAACAAAAAATCTATTTTAATGTACCGGTATCATAAACTGGACGTGTGTTTTCAACGTAAAATTAACGTTTTTTTTAGTATGGAGCTACTGCTTCCGTCTGCACGAATTCTGTTACAGTTTATTTGTATAACTGTTCATAAACGTGTCTTTGTAAATGAAATGCCATAACATTTTGATATCGCTCTCCTCCTACACGGATGACTACTTCAATCCTACGTCTCATTTCACCCGTTTGACGTCGAGTTTGCTGCATTGTTATCTAACGCCACTTTCGATGAAGAGCTGCTTCTAATTGGTTCAGATTCTGAGGAGATGGGGCCATTTGTTGTATTTTACGCTTAAGAACGTCCACAACATGCTCCAGGGTCCTCACCCATGAATACAGTTGTCGAAATGAGGCACAAATGCTGGCTCAAAGACCCTATCGGTGTACTGTTGGCCTGTTAGCCTCCTCTGTATCGTCATCAAGTTCAGCTTGCCATGATAGAATATGCAATTCCACACCATCACAGAGCCTCCACTGCACGGAATGCTCGATTGAATATTCTTTGGTGTGTATGCAGTGTTCCTGTGTCGCCAGACAATTTGTTGCGTTTCAAGTCTCATTCGTCGAAATATGCTTTTTGATGTGTCTGCTTATTACAGAATAATTGTGGTCTATCTAACTGCCTATAACCTTAAAAGACAACCTGTCGTATGCATGCAAACAATCTGCCACCTTTTAAGTTCTGATAATCTACGACTAGGGATTATTTAGGGATTCTTATTTTTATTAAACTATTCTTACGTTTTCCAATAGTCAATTTAACTGTTTAATAACAATAAAGGTTAAGATGTCGTTGTAGAAATATGGATAACACGCACCCAGAAATGTGATATAATCAAAAAGCTATTCTTAAAAGAACGGGTATTTTTTAATTGGCACCTAAGTCTTTGTGTATCGGCATTGCTTATGTGTACCGAAGCTAAAATACGGAATACCATTCCAAACAACAGCTAAACATAATTGTCAAAATACGTGAACTTTAAGATTTTTATGTTAGAAAGGGTCAGAGAGTGCTTTCACATATTTACAGGTTTGTGTAAATGTATGTATTCAAAGATTTGCACATTTATTTAATCAGATAAAATAGATAAGATGTGGCCATAAAATACATGTAGCATCATTTTGGAAAAAAATAATTTTCATTTGAAGTAAGAGAATTCTGTGTCAACGACTATATCTGGAACAAATTCTGTTGATATTTTAATAAGTTTTTTAAGTATTTTTTATCTACAAAACGGAAGTACATGTAGAATTAAATGCATTTTTAGAGCTTTAGAGGTTTTGCATTGTGCATTGAATTTATTTTGGCAATTTACACGTTTACGATCTCTCATGTCATCAATGAAAGAAAATATATTTGCCAAGCGGTTACTACCAGAAGTAAAATTATAAACTGTACGAATCGATTGTACATTTAAATATACATTTTCATTTGTTTTCTGAATTTGTCTTGGAAGTAAAGGCTCATTTCGTCTCGACACTGAATACTAGATAAATTCTCAATTAAAATTTATCAGTCTCAATATTAAAAACGTAATATGCAACAGTGATCGCTTTCATTTAACATGAATTATATTATATGAATCATGCATAATCTCTTTATCTACAGGCTTTGCAAAGAGCAGAGGAAAGAGTTCCAACTACTATAATACAGTTTGGATTGGGTGGAACAGCTACAACACTTCAATTTCAAATACTATGTGTTCTTATGGCTTTATTACACCAAGACAAAATTAATGATGTTGGATGCTACTACGGTAGACAACCTGCACACAAATACTGCGTCATAAAAACGCATTTTATAAAAGACACATTTTTTCAGATACTTCCATCAGATGTGTGGATATTCATGACATCTAGCAATCTACTTTCTGATGAAAAGAAAACAGAACTGGAGTCTCATAAAGTAAGAATTAGAAATATGAGAATAAGGATACCATCGATCGTTGATATAGAAACTACGTCTAAACGTGGTTATACGATTGTCTTCGATTATCAACCATTTTTTAGACTTTCAGATACAAAAATGCAACATGCTGTTGAATATTTACGGTATTGGGATATTATAAGATTGTGTTGTGGAAGGCAAATGTCTGCTGATTGGAGGAGACGTTTGTCGCCAAAGATATCATATAAACCCCACCACGATCCGCATAGCTATTCATATCCCGCTTGCGAAATGTACAACATAACCGAAGTGGAAATGTTATTAATGAAAACGTTTGTTTATCAAAAGTTTGCTAATATTTCTTCACTTCATGACATAATTGGGAAGCCATCAAATGTCGATGGCAAACTTGACGGTACATACTGTGAACGTTGTAATAGAAATATTGCTGAAAAAGATTTGGAATTCAATGCAAATTGCGCATAAAATTTAAATGGTTGATCACATTTTTAAACGCTGTTTCAACAGGACGAAAAAATGTATAAATGTGTATTAAGAGACCATCTGTTTTATTTCATTGACATGATTCTCAAAAATAACTGGCCTGTTAAGTCATTCAAGGCACCTGTATGTTTTATAAATATATTTTATATCTTTAGTATCATGCATATAGTTTAGACCTATTTTAGACAGCTTACATAACCTTCATGGAAACATCTTGTCTCTGTTAAATGCATGCTCATCATAAAGGTAATCGTCATTATCGTTGTCATTTTCATCTGTGTCGGCTTCATTATAATCATAAACAAGCAAAACCGTATGTATTATCATCATTGCGCTCGCCGTTTTCATCGTTGTGGTAATATATATATTTACGATCGGCATTATGATCATCATTTATAGCATTTTTTTATCATGAATTTTCTTGTTTCCTTTGTGTATTAATCATTTGTGAAAATGCTTACAGGAAATCACGCAGCGTTATGTTAAACACGATTAATCTGAAATAAAATGCATTGCTTTACCATAAAGTCTAAATATATGTGTTTTCGGACTTCATTAACATCTTTTTTACCGAAATATATATAAAATATATATGCTTATGATGTCAGCAAACACTGTATTTAAGTTCGCGCGAAAATTCATGACATTCCATTCATTCCGTAAAATTTTTAAGCAAGAACGGGACTAAAATTTGTAGTAATATATAAATACGGTAATATGATTTATATGAAAATTAATACGTTCTTCACAGAACAGCTTATTAATGTCGTAATTCCATTATCGCTACTGAATCCTTCAGGGTACTTATTGATGATTATACCTGAAGACGTTCTACCGATTTCTTGAATATTATTCTGAATACTTCTGTCCTTTTGACTTTGAAAAGTAAAAGTTTTATCTTTTTTATGTCAAAAATAATCATGTCGATAACTTGAAGGATGTACACTAAGTCAACCCTCTACTAAGAAAAATGTATAAAAACAAGACAAAATGTTTATAAAATGCTAGGTCCTCATAATGGTGATAAGTTCTGATATTCCGCTTTCTTTCGATTTTCATTATTTATTCAAAGACCAAACAGTGTACCATCACGAATGTTGCTGCTCTTAAATGACTTTTGTCAATTTAGAATAAGTTTCAATAATTTTTTTTTGTTTTCTTAATACAATCCATAAACAGGCGCTGGAACATTTTTTATTCTATCGTTTTGGGCATTCGTAAGGGATTCTGATTAATGTAAACGTTTTATTTCACTAGTTCCCTACAAAGCAATAACTTCTTAAAAACGCAACTGTATTTCAAAAAAATTATACATTGCAAAATAACAACAACTATAAATAATTTCAACGGTATTGTTGTGCTTTCATCTATTAATCAGTCTTGTGTGTCAATATGTGAAAAACCGTGAGAAATAAGGTAAATTTTCACAGTTTGCTTGAAATAACTTAAATTGATCGGAGTATTTATATGTAGTTTCTTATATCCAAGTTTATTGTATAAACATGTATAACTGCAACAAATAATTTTATATAAGGTAGATAAAGGGGAAGAACAATCGGAACCTAGCAAAAGTGTTCCTTATAACCGAGTGAACACTTTATCTGAGTTTGCTTTAAGTAATGATTACTGCATTCATTTCCAACAGGACAGACATGGGAATAATAATTATTAAATACTGTGTTGTATATGGAATAGATAAATACAGAATCCCTAAAGAAAGCCCACCACGGCAAAATTGAAAATGTTGCAGGCTCGGTTTGATTGAAATCTACTTTAGGAGTCATCTCGACTTTCACCAAAGTCTTAATTTTCTTTACAAACTGCAGAATATAGTCTTACTTTTCAAACCTGAATGTCATCGGGAATTGGTTTCTTTAAACATATTTGCTTTGTCCCCATTGATCTTCAAGTGGTTATATTTTGTGTTAAAATGCATTTAATAAGCGAGTTCATGTACGGTACATAATGAAATGAATCACAAATTTTTTGCCCGTCTGCATTGTCCAGAAATTAAGAAATTGTCCAAAAATTTTCGTATTTTCTTTTAACTATTTATATTATTTAGTCTATGGCATATTTAACAATGCCTGTTAACTGGCCATCGTAAAGTAATAAAAACATTTTTTTTTGTCTAAGATAATTCTCATAACACTGGACACTTTGAAAAGGTATTGTACAAAACTTGACACGTTTTCAAAAATTAATGAACGTTATTTTGTTATCAAATTGCTGAAGTCCGCACATCATCGTACAAAAATTCTACAACTGTGATTATAATTTTAAAGATTTTTTCTAAAATATAATCAATACTAAAATAGTTTTCAAATGCTAGAAAGTATTTTATATCTTGGAATCATTAGTTCAAGATCCATTCTGCTTATCATAAGGTCGTCAGAACTACGACCACCATATAAATCGATGTCACATCCATGTCGTATCAATTTGTTAATTAGAAACATGATAATGACTGACAATTCAAATAGCATTTTTGTTTTACGTCATAATTTCGATGATTTTCATATGTTTTGAGCAATAAACATCCAATCCGTAGGGATTTTATGTATCTGAATCTAGTCTATATAGCATGGAACAATTAGATGTATATTTCCAGGACGATAACATAAAGTCCCTATTGTAATAATGTTCTGGTGGTTAATTTGATGTGAAAATCAAAAATTTGATCAGGATTTCTTTGTTGATCTATAAGAGGTGATTTTACTTCCATTCTTTTATTTCGTATACCAATATAAAATACAAGCGCATTCTTTGTAAACATACAATTTCTAAAATTGCAATTTTTACAATAAAGATTCGTCTTTAGATAATTTTTCATATATTCTGGCAGATTGTAAAAATAGTAACCTTTTTAGTCTGTGTTTCGTGTTGATCTCTACTAAACAATTTAGTCACATCTTTCTCAAAATATAGACGATCTAAATGTTGCACAATTATGTCATTTTTTATCAATTCAGATTGACTAAGATTCATGTCCACTGATTTATTTCGTAGATTCTATTCTAAAACAAATCTTCTTATAGGAAAAATACCAAAACTTATACACATGAAATAAGAAAAACAATTTCGGTAATGCCACATCATTTTGTCACTGTCAAATATTCCATGTGTTTGTGTATAATAAAAAATCGTTAAATAGATAGTTGAAGATCTTATATTTTTCTGCCTTTAGAAATTTTAGTATGTTTCAAATCACCAAATATTGGTTATATGTGTTCTGATGATACAATAACATGTAGTTTTTCTTATAACATTACAAAATGTTGATTCGCTCTGTGTCAACAACATGTTTGCTGTGCTGAAGTTAACAGTTTAATTTTTCTTATAATCATTAAAACCAAATCTAACTTTAGTCGTGTTAGTGCAGTTTTGATAATGGCTTTCTTACAGTTTCTCATTCCATTCATACATTTCTTTAAAGATATTGACATGAACGGAATAAGAGAATCTTTTACACATTGCTTTTAGTTTAATCTAAAACACATTGCCACAAAATTAAGTATTCGCATCGGGATCTAGCAAACTGTCCTAAATATATAATATAGATTCTATAATTAATATTGTATGGGATGTGCTCTAAATTTAAGGTTTATATACATGTATAGGGGTTTTTACTCTTTGATAACACATTATGTATGCCTCAGTCTGTAGGCCTATGGAATATTCTGTATTTAATTCATACGTAGATTAAAACTGAAGTCTACATGTATGTGAAACGCAACCTCGATGAAGTTTCCAAATGTCACGTGTACTACAGGCATAATAACTTTAATAGTTTAGTACAGTAAAATACTCATATACTGCACTGTAGTTGCAGCTTAATATAGAGTCAGATATTATAAATGTTCACATGTGATAATTTATTTTTATTTTCTTGAATCTAGATCAGGGAATGAAAGTTTTATTATATTTACATGTATTACCATAAATTATGTTTTATATAGTCAGCATGGCATGGCTGAGGATTCCACTGATTAGTACAAAATATGACCCGAGATTATGGAAGAGTACAGTATTGGTATACATTTGTGTTATTATTAGTTTTTGTGTAGATGTACATAAATGGTTTCAAATGCTATACATAACTGGAATTAATTTAAAATTATTATAATAATAAAACGATTAAACACTTAAGCTTTTAACTGAGTAAGATCAATACAATTTAAGTATTTATCAAACCATATTTAGATAGATCTAGATTCTATACTGTACAAACATTAATGATTTTATCATTTTTCAAATATTTTGTATGTAAATTCTAAGGATGTAAAAAAAAACCTATACAGTGTAGTAAATTAAGTCATGGCTTTAATTAAAGCTGTCATTGTGCATATTAAATACCAAAATATTCTTCTTTGGTGTTTATCGTTTGGTTAAATGATTATATCCTCAATTTGCTGTGCTAATCTCATATATATTTTTTCTCATGTGTTTAAATATTCATTTTCTCTAGGTATACATGTTTGTTATTTCCTTAGGTTTTTTTCTATGTTGTACTCTTTACTATTACAGATGGGACAAATCTAGTGAGATCATTGATCATATACAGTATATTGAAAAGGACCTGTTGTGTGTCTGTGTGTGATGCTAGACCAATTAACACTAAGGTATTAATTATTTTAGACAATGACTGAGAATGTTTCCTTTTTATCAATGAACGTGCAAGGACTTGGGGATAAACTAAAAAGAAAAGATATTTTTAGTTATTTAAGGGCCAAACATTTTAATATATATTTTCTTCAGGATACTCATTTTACAGATAAAATAATTAAAATAATAAGAAGTCATTGGGGAGTTATATGTTATTGCAGCAATTTTAATAGTCAGTCTAGAGGGGTGGCTATAAAGATAAATAATAATTTTGATTATGAATTTATTTCTGAAGAATATGACACTGATGGTAATCTCTTGATTTTGAATTGTAAAATTTACTCAAAATCATTAAGCCTTTTTTGCTTATATGGCCT